GATTCTTCCTCCCGTTTTCTGTATATTTGATTATTCATGTTACAACAGCAGCTAGGATTGTATTTGCACAAAATTGGAAAAGTGAAGAGATCCCTACAGAGGAAAATGTGATTGGGGAAATATTAGAACGTGCAGGAATGAATAGATCAACACTGGCAATTACAGAGAAAGAACAAACTGGTTATTATATTGGAAGCATTTTATCGATGTTTAGAGAATGAATATAAAAATTAGAAGTAAAACTAGCGGTGTTAAAATGTATTAATTAGAATTAACATAACTAATAGAGTTAAATTAAGAAGAGGATTGTTGTAATATCAAACATGTAAGATATTGGCATTAAGTTGAAATAAATAAATAATGAACATGATTGTAAGACAACTTACTGCACAAAATATTTGTACCCAGACAACAGACTGTTCAATGGACTATTTGTATTAAGATAAAATAAAAACTTTACCAAAAAACCCCCCAGATTCTTCCTCCCAGCCTCTGGCCTTTCGCTCATGGCTTGCAGTTCCTGAGTGAGGGTCTCTCTGCCTTCTGCCCCCCGCAGGGAGCGCGAGCAGCCTCCCCGCTTTGCACAGCCCGGCTCCTTTGAGTACGAGTACGCCATGCGCTGGAAGGCCTTAATCGAAATGGAGAAGCAGCAGCAAGACCAAGTGGACCGCAACATTAAGGAGGCCCGGGAGAAACTGGAGATGGAGATGGAGGCGGCTCGTCACGAGCACCAGGTCATGCTCATGCGCCAAGGTGGGCACCTGAATTCATTGGGACGTTGTGTGGGGGGTCGCTTCTGGCAGCCCCTCCTGGATACCAAACTGTCCTCCTCCTTCCAGATTTGATGAGACGCCAGGAGGAGCTCCGGCGCATGGAGGAGCTGCACAACCAGGAGGTGCAGAAGCGCAAACAGCTGGAACTCAGGTGAGCAGCAGATTGACAAAGGCCGCTCCGGTACAGATGGCAGAATACATGATAAAACTGGTTCATGAAGAGAGCTGAAAAACGACATTCATTCTTTAGCCAGGGAAATTATCCAAAGAGCTCTTGGCTCCAGTCTTCCAACTGAGTGCTCTCTTGATGAATTGATGGGGACCCCCCCCCCTTGATCCTTTTTTGAGGGGGGCTTAGTGGATGCGGCCTGCCAAGCTGAGACGCGGCCGAGGGGCCTAATCCTTGGGGAGGCTGCTGAAGCAGGGAGACCAGTCCGGGCTTCTCTGGCAGGCAAGAAGAGGAGCGCCGGCGCCGGGAGGAGGAGATGCGACGGCAGCAGGAGGAGATGATGAGGCGGCAGCAGGAGGGCTTCAAGGGCGCCTACCCTGATGCGGTAAGTGGGGTGGTGGTTAGGGCTGATGGGCAGAAGCGGGAGGGAGCCGGCGGCAGCACCTGATTTCAGGGCCCTCTGCTCACCGTGGGCTTCTCCGTCTGTTTCAGAGAGAGCCTCCTGATATGCGAATGGGGCAGATGGGCATGGGAGGTAAGTGGCGCAGAGATGCCCAGACACACACAAGGCCGAGACATACGGCCCTGGTTCTGGGCACCGGCTGACGGTCAGGGTCTCTGCCTGCAGCTGAGCTGGGGCCGGGCTTGGGGAGACGGCTGGTGAATCGGGGGGTTTCCCTGGTGGATTCTGAAGCTGTACTTCAGGAGGGGTTCCTGCTTTGCCCTTCAGGTGCAATAGGGATGAACAACAGGGGGACCATGGGGGGCACCAGCGTCCCTGCAGGACCCCCGCCCGCGACTGGCCCTGGACCAATGATCCCTGATGGAGCCATGGGAATGGTAAGATCAACCGAGCTCTTGTCCTTGAAAGGGGGGGGGGGGAAAGAGCCCAGAATTATCACAGTATTATCATGAGGACTTGTACTTGCATTTCAAGTGAATGTTTCTTAGATATTTAGTATTTAGTATTTGGTTTATTTGTATGCCGCCCTTCTCCAGGGGGGACTCAGGGCGGCGAACAACTCAAAGAGGAAA